GGGGATGGTTGCATAACATTGAGAATGAACTTATTACTAATGAATTGTACACTTAAAATTGTTAAAATGATAATTTTTTGTTATAAAATTTTACCACAATAAAATCTACACTGCTGAAACCGGTTTGGCTCAGTGGATAGACTGTCAGCCTGTGGACTGAAAGGTCCCAGGTTCGATTCTGGTCAAGACATGTACCTTGGTTGCGGGCACATTCCTGATGGGGGGTGTACAGGAGGCAGCTGGTCATTGTTTCTCTCTCATCAATGTTTCCGACTTTCTATCGCTCTCCCTTCCTCTCTGTAAAAAATGATATAAAATATATTTTAAAATAAAATTAAAAAATAAAATCTACACTAATAAAAGAGAAACATATATATTAACCATCACTCCACTATGCCAAGCCACACCCACCAGCCAGACAGGAGCAAGTATGCAAATTGACCCAACCAAGATGGCAGCCGGCCACAGAACTGGAACAAGCAGGAGGCTTGGATTTCCCCCGGCGAAGGAGGAAGCCAAGCTTCCTGCCCACCTTGGCTGGGCCTACCCTCCACTCAAGGCTTCAAAGTTTCAATTATAGAAGATAAATAAATCCCAACAAAAATGGTGGCAGCCAAGGAGCTGGAGAGTGCAGGAAGCTTAGGTTTCCCCCAGCGATGGAGAAAGTCAAGCTTCCTGCCTGCCCTGGCCAGCCCTGGCCTCCGAAACTACAAAGTTTCAATAATAGAAGATAAATCAATCCCAGATACCAGGGCCTACGCTTGGATTACCAAGAGATGTGGCTGTCCTGGAACCACCACAGGACCCTCGCCTAGGCTGCTCAATGCCCAAGGGAACCCCCACCCTGATCTGTTACATCCTTCAGGGCAAACCAGCCAGCCCTCACCCATTTACCAGGTTTCTATCCTATATAATAAAAGAGTAATATGCAAATTGGCTGACACTCCAACACACAAGATGGCTGCCCCCATGTGGTCAAAGATCCTGCCCCCATGTGGACACAAGATGGCCACCACAAGATGGCCAGCAGAGGAGGGCAGTTGGGAGTGATCAAGCCTGCAGGGGAGGGCAGTTAGGGTGACCAGCACGGCAGAGGAGGGAAGTTGGGGGTAACCAGGCCTGCAGGGAAGGCGACCCAGGCTTGTAGGGGAGAGAAGTTAGGGTAGGGGGGTGGGTTAGGCCTTCAGGGAAAGATAGTTTTGGGGGAAACAGGCCTGCAGAGGAGGGCAGTTAGGGGTGACCAGGCCTTCAGGGGAAGGCATTTAGGGGCAGTCAGGCTGGCAGGGGAGCAGTTAGGCATTAATCATGTTGGCAGGGGCATGGTTAGGGGGAAATCAGGAAGGCAGGCAGGTGAGCAGTTGGGAGCCAGCAGTCCTGGATTGTGAGAGGGATGTCCGACTGCCCATTTAGGCCTGATCCTACTGGGCAGCTGGATATCCCTTGAGGGGTCCCAGATTGGAGAAGGTGCAGGCTGGGCTGAGGGACAGCCCTCCAGCCCCCCACATGCACTAATTTCATTCACCAGGCCTCTGGTATTTAAATAAAACAAAGTTAAAAACCAACTAGATAGGAGGGTCAATATGGTGGTGTAGGTAAACACTGTACTCACTTCCTCTCACAACCACCTCAAAATTACAACTAAACTACAGAACAGCCGTCTTCCAGAACTGTTTGAAATCTGATGGAACGGAAGTTAAAGAAAAAGCCACATTGAGACTAGTAAGAGTGGCAGAGGCACATAACGGGCTGCTTCGAAGCCACCCTGTAGTGTTTGTTTAATTGGGGGGATACGTTGGCTGTGGAGGTACCCCTGAGGAGCAAGGAGTCCCAAGCCACATTAGAAGCCTCAGCTCAGGGTTCCAGTGCCAGGAGGAGAAGTACTCATAACTTCAGGCTGTAAAATCCAGAGGAGATTGTGGCTGAGTGACACCGAGAGTGGCTAGAGTCACAGACATTTCCATTAAAGGGCCGCTGCACAGACTTATTGGGACTCACTGTCAAAACTCCAGTGCTAGGGCAGCAGCCTGAAAGGATCCAGGGATATGCAGGGAATAACTAAATTGTCTGGCATCAGGGCATTAACGGGGGAGCTTTCTCCCAGGAAGAGGTAATTGTTCCTTTGCTGAGACCTCTCCGTCACAGGCAGTGGTCATATCTGAGTCTCCATTAACATGGTCTACACTGCTCATTCTAGTGATTCCCTGCAACCCCGCCACACTCAATTTGCATGCCTACTGAAGTTGTTTGCAGTCACTTTTCCATATGAATGGCCTGTCCTAGTTCAGATTACAGACTTTCCTAAAATCATTCAAATAAGCAGGACCAGACCTCAGCATATCCCATACTTGTTAATAAGTGGCCCTACACCTGACACTAGCAACTGGCTGCACAGCTTGGCCTCTCCTGGGCACAGTTATTTGCAGATCACTCTAGCTTGTGCCAGGTGGCTTCAGGCAGGCCATAGGCAGTAGCTGATTTTGAACCTCCCAGGAGGCTCCAGAGTTGGTGCACCTGGTGCTCAGCTTCAGACTGCACCAGATTACAACCCTACCATATCCATGAACAACACACTCAAGGGGCTGACTAGTGAGCACCAAAATGTTCTGCTCCCTAGGGGTGTCTCCTGCGTAGCATCTCTTCTTCTGTAGTCATAGCTGGTTCACATAGCCATTTTGCCTGGTGGTCAGTCTCTCATAGTGACAAGATCAGTAATCAAGGCTCAAGTACAATGGGACTGTGCACACAGCCCACATAGGGGCACATCTATAGTGCCCAACTGAGCCACTGCGTCCTACAGAACAACTAGTACACAAGGCCATTCTACCAATTCCAGGAGAAATAGAAGCTCTACTGAATACATAGAAACAAACACAGGGAAGCAGCCAAATTGCAGAGACAAAGGGACATGTCACAAATAGAAGAACAAGAATTCTCCAGAAAAAGGAACTAAATGAAATGGAAGTAAGCAAAGAGTTCCAAACAATGGCTAAAAGGATGCTCAAGGAACTTAATGAGATCTTCAAGGAACTTAGTGAGAACAAAAAAGAGATGAAAAAGGATCAGCAATAAATGAAGGATACACTAACTGAAATGAAGATAAATTTTACGATCAACTGAAAAACAAACCTGCTGCGGGACCAGCATGGTTCAGTTGTTGAGCATCAACCTATGAATCCAGTCACGGTTTGATTCCCAGTCAGGGCACATGCCTGGTTGCAGGCTCCATTATCAAGCCATACAGGAGGTAGCTGATCAATGATTCTCTTCATCATTCATGTTCCTATCTCTCCCTCTGAAATCGATAAAAATATATTTTTAAAAATTAGCCTGCTCTCTCACCAGCATGGCTCAATGATTGCATGTTGACCTATGTACCAGCAGGTCATGGTTTATTCCCAGGTTGCAGCTCAATCCCTACTAGAGAGTGCAGCCAATCAATGATTTTCTCTCATCATTAATGTTTCTCTCTTTCCCTCTCCCCTTTTCTCTAAAATCAATAAAAAATATTTTTGAAAAGTTAGCCTTTTATATGTGGTCAAACATTTAATTAACTCACCCCTTTGACAGGGCGAGACGAAATGATTTTGTTGGTCTTATCCAGCCCACAGGCCAGACATTCCCCACCCCTGCTTTAAGGGATCATTTCTAGGGGGAAGCCCTTGGGTGCAGCCTTGCCCAGCCTTCTCTTTTGCCAGCCTATTCTTAATTGCCTATCATTGTAGCTCCATCCTACCTTGGGGCTCAGAAGCAGCATAAACAACAAAAAAACTTTACAGGGAATCAACAGTAGAATAGAGGATGCCAAGAAACAAATCAGTGATATGGAATTTGAAGAAATAAACACTCAATCAGAAGAGAAAAAAGAAAAAAGATTACAAAAATACATAGATAGTATAAGGAACCTCTGGGACAATTTCAAGTGTACCAACATTCGCATCATGGGGCTGCCAGGAGAATAGACAGCAAGATATTGAAGAATAATGACAGAAAACTCGCCCTAACTGATCAAAGAAACAGACAGACAAGTCCAGGAAGCACTGAGAGTCCCAAATTAGAGGAACCCAAAGAGGCCCACACCAAGACACATCATAATTAAAGTGCAAAACATTTTAAACAAAAAGAGAACATTAAAAGCAGCAAGAGAAAAACAGTTAGTTACCTACAAGGGAGCACCTATACACTTGTCAGCTAGTTTCTCAACAGAACCTTTGCCAGCCAGAAGGGAATGGCAAGAAATATTCAAAGTAATGAAAAACAAGGATTTATATCTGAGACTACCCAGCAAAGCTATCATTTAGAATTGTAGGTCAAATAAACAGCTTCACAGAAAAGAAGCTAATGGAGTTCCTCATTACCAACCCAGTATTACATGAAATGTGAAAGGGTCTTCTTTAAGAAGAGGAAAAAGATTAAAAATGGGAGTAATAAGTACATATCTATCCGTAATTGAATCTAAAAGTAAAAATAAACAAGGAATCTAATGAACAAAATAAACTGCTGAATAAAATAGAACCAAAGGCATGGAAACTCGAAACAAACTAATGAATCTCAGACGGTAAGGGAGGGCTATGGACACAGACAACAGGGTGGTGAAGGTCTGGGCAGGGTGGGATTTCGGTGAAGGAGAGCAATGGAGGGAAAGGGTCAACATCTGTAATACTCTCAACTATAAAGATCTTTTAAAAACCAGCTAAACCATCAGTTGCCAACCAGTGGTTCCCAGACCACTGGTGGTCCATGATGTCCGAAAGGTTGGTGACCACTGAACTAAATAACAAGGTAGATTTATTCTGATAATATCTTTTCCCCAAAGATTTTTTCTCGTTTATTACTGAAGCACCTTGTAGTGACATGTCAAATTTGTGTAAGGACTTACTAGATTTTTAGGATTGAAAATTATTAGATTTTAGGATTCAGTTTGTATTGCCTTTTGTTTACAAATTGTGTTTTCAAACATTTTTATGGCAAAGATTTTTAAGTGAATTTCCTTTGTTTTGCAGTTACTTCGAGAGCTTAAGCATCCAAATGTCATCTCTCTTCAAAAGGTGTTTCTATCTCATGCAGACAGAAAAGTATGGCTTCTGTTTGACTACGCTGAACATGACCTCTGGGTAAGGTGAATTGCTGGTAGACATAGGATCACTAGTTTCAATCAGGACTAATAAGAGTAACTAAAAACATTTCAAAATAAAAGTAATCTCATAAAATGTTTTATATAGTGCCAAGTCTTTTATATTTTGCTTTGTGTCACATTTTGATTTTACAAGCTTGACCTTGATAACATATAGAAAAAAATAGAATCTGAAGGGTATAAACAGCTATTCAATATTGTTGCCTAGCTATACATTTTTATAAAAATTTAAATATCTGTATAAACTTTAGTTGTAAAATTTAAAAGCAGCCTATTTTCCTTTTATATATTAGTGTGAAGGAATATAAAATGAGAAGGTGGTCTCATGTAGAGAGACAAATACATTATATTTGGAAGACTAGAAAATCTGGTGGTTCTGTTGTCATGTGCCATTAGGCAAGTGTCTTAATGGCTGTGAAGCTGTAGTTTCTTCCATCTGTAAAATGTAATACTTTTCTTGCCTTTTTTTACAGAATTTTTTGAAGCATAATTTTGCATTAAAAAAGCTTTATAAACTAAATATATGATACAAATGTAGGAAAATATTATTAATCATAATTTTAATATCATTCACAATTAATAATCAGTGTTCTAACGTATTTTCTATTTTCATTATCAGAAATTCAAAATTGTACTTAGTAGAATTGGGCATATTTTTCTCTAAAAAGAATTCTTTGTGGAAGAGAGATCTACTACAAAATTAGGTCAGAATGAAAGTAGATTAGATTGTGGTTTTTAGTTATTTAGTGTTTGTCTGACATATAATGAGAAAATTTTAAATATCTAGATTCAAACATTTGAATATTCTTAAAGTCAAGTAATTGAACTTTATTAGTTTAGCTTATATAATGAAAAAAATGCTATATTGATAAAAAATTATTATAAACTAAGAATTTAAATATACTTTGTCTATCTGCAATACAAACAACTGCCTCAATATTTTTGTATGTACTAAAAAGATGATTTTTAAAATTCTTATTTATAAAAACCTTGAGTATCTAAAAATTGACTCCTTTGTTAAATATAATAGTTACATTTTTAAAAATATAAACTTATATGCATATATAAATAACCCATGGACACAGACAATAATGAGATGAAGGTCTGGGGAGTGGGCAGAAACAGGATTGAGGGGTCCATGGAGGGGGGAAAAAAGGGCCATCTGTAATACTTTCAACAGTAAAGACAAATAAAAATATAAAATAAAGTAAAATACCATATTGGAGATAAGATATTCTGATATCCTAATTTATAAAAACCCAGGCTCCATAACCACTGACTGAAGGCTCGACCGAACACCAAAATTCAGTCCTGCAGTCCCAGCACTGCCTGCCGAGGGGCCAGCGGATCAGGCCCAGAAAGAGGCCAAGAAAGAGGCAGGATCTGATCCACAGACTCCATGGCAGCTCTTATTAGCTGTTGTTTCTCTCTTTCTCTCTGGGTTTTGCCAGTAGCCATGCCTTTCTTTATCTTTCTCTCCAGACCTCCATGGGGACTGTTGATCAGCCCTGCCTTTCTGATCATGCCCGGAGATAGGCCCAGAGATGCTAACTGGCATAGAAACCGACCAATTAGAACCAACTTTGGGTGAACTGTAAGGAGCCAATGGCTGCCTAGGATGCAGAGATTTTGACTGACTGGCATAGAAACCAACCAGTCAGAACCAAATCTGGGTGATGTGTGAGGAGCCAATGGTTGCCTAGGAGTCAGAGCTTTTTAAAATATATATAATATATTTTATTGATTTTTTTTTTACAGAGAGGAAGGGAGAGAGAGTTAGAAACATCGATAAGAGAGAAACATTGATGCTTTCTGCACACCCCCTTTTGGGGATGTGCCCGCAATCAACTTATGTGCCCTTAACCGGAATGGAACCTGGGACCTTTCAGTCTGCTGGCTAACGCTCTATCCACTGAGCTAAACCAGTTTCGGCAGGAGTCAGAGCTTTTGATGCTGATTGGCATAGATCAGACCGGCAAGGGAGGGCTGTTGGTGGCGAGATCAGGCCAGCAGGGTAGGGCAGTTGGGGGGGAACCAGGCAGTCAGGAGAGTGCAGTTATAGGTGATCAGGCAGTCTGAGGCTGTTGGGGTGAGATCAGGCTGGCAGGGGAGAGCTGTTGGCGACAAGATCGAGCCAGCTGGGGAGGGCAGTAGGGGGCAACCAGGTTTGCAGGGTAGGGTAGTTGGGCGAGAGATCAGGCTGGTAAGGAAGGGCACTTAGGGTGATCAGGCTGGCAGAAGCAGTTGGGGGGTGAGATCAGGCCAGGAGGGGAGGGCAATTAGGGTCGATCAGGCAGGCAGGCAGAAGCAGTTAGGGGCGATCAGGCAGGCAGGCAGGTGAGCGATATGAACCAGCGGTCCTAGATTGCGAGAGGGATGTCTGACTGCCAGGTTAGGCCCAAAACCTATGGGATTGGGCCAAAACCGGCAGTTGGACATCCCTCAAGGGATCCCTGATTGGAGATGGTGAAGACTGGGCTAAGGGAACCTCCTCCCCGAATTTTGTGCACTGAGCCACTAGTGCATATATAACATCATTGGACACACACTCAGACCTTTTCAATTTCAGTAAAAAATAGAGTAATTTAGCTGCCAAAGTAAAAGATTTCAAATACCTGGTTTAAGTATACCTTCCTTATTGTCAAGAAATCAGAATCTATAATTCACACTCAGTACAAGTATTTTAGTCTTGGAGGATAAAAGGGGAGCAACTACAGTTGGGGAAATAGTTTTTTTCTGCACTTTTTCTCTATCTAAACCTTTCTCGTTGGGTCATGATGATTCTAGGAGAGTTCTATATTGCTGTGTGTAGGAGAGATAAACATTTTGATTTCAAGGAAGAAGAAATGAACCAGCACTTTATGTCCATTTAAGAGCCCACAAGAAAGCATCTTCTGTAATTCCTGCTGCAGCTGAAAAAGCTAAAATTTAACAATAACATCAACACACAAAATGATGAGAAGACCATTAGGCACATGCATTTGAGTTTAGCATATTTGCATTGCAAAATTCACCTTCCACTTACTTACCTAGTTGCTTGATGAATAACATATTTCATCTATTAAATTTACCTTGAGCTAATTTTAAAAAATCACACAAGTTTTTTTCACGAATTCGATGATTAATATTTCCTCATTTTTTGTTGCCAATTAGGATTTAAGTAAGCTTTCTTCAGAAGCATTTCCTGGGGAAACCAGGACAGTTCAAATGAAATTAGTAAGGACAGGGCAGCTGTTCACAAATGGACCAGACATGGGAGAGTTTAAGTGGTGCTAAAAACTGGGATCTGAAAAAGTTTGGATTAATTTGTTCTCTTCTCAGTTTGACCCCTACTTGGTAATAGAATTCACATTTAGTCCCTTTTCGCTCAGAGATTTTGTCTCTGTTTCCTGCAAATTCATATTTGTAATTGGGTCTAAACCAGCAGTCAGACATCCCCTAAGGGGTTCCTGATTGGAGAGGATGTAAGCTGGGCTGAGGGAACCATCCCCTCTGTGCATGATTTTGTGCACCGGGCCACTAGAGTATATTATAAAAATGTGTAACAGAATAGGCAAAATAATTTTGAAATATACACTCAAAACTTATATCCTGATCAGTTATGTGTTAAGAAGAAAAAAAAAAGATAAAAAATCTGAACAATAAAATGGCAATAAATACATATCTATCAGCAATTTACTCTAAAAATAAAAACAAATGAACAAGGAATCTAATAACAAAATAAACTGATGAATATAATAGTACGAGAATTATAAAAACATGGGATAGACTGACACATCTCAGAGGGAAGAGGAAAGGGGAGGGCAGGAAGAGATTAACAAAAAACCTATATGCATACTTGCATTACCCACGGACATAGACAACATGGCTTGGAGAGTGTGGGATCTAAGCAGGAGGGGCAATGGGAGAAAAAGGGGGTTCTGAGTACAATTTAAAAAAAACAACAACCCTGTACATATTACCTTAATTTATTAACAATTGCTTAACTACTGTGAATTATACATTTTTTCCTGGTATTTAAAAGTAATAAGGTCTTTTAACACTTTATTGTGTTTTGCATGCTGGATTGTATTTGCTAAGTTTATTATAGCAGTGAATTTATTGAGATAAATAAAGATATGGGTTTGCAAAATTAGATTTATAATTGTTTGCATGAAAAATAATAAAATGATTAATGAATAATACCAAAATAATATCTGTTTCAATAAAAATACAAGAACACAATGTGTGTTTCTCACATTCATAACTGTAAACCTACTTTGCCACATCCTGTATATATATTGATATGTAAAGGATTATAATATCCTGGCTCACTTTCAGAAATCTTCAAAATAATTTATATTTTTCATTCGGCTTTCTTCCTATCTAATAAAAGAGTAATATGCAAATTGGCAATCACTTCAATACACAAGATGGCTTCCCCCGTGTGGACACAAGATGGCCGCCATAAGATTGCCAGCAGAAGAGGGCAGGGCCAGGCCTGCAAGGGAGGGAGGGCATTTGGGGGCAATCAAACCTGCAGGGGAGGGTAGTTAGGGGTGACCAGGCCAGCAGAGGAGGGAAGTTGTGGGTGACCAAACCTGTAGGGAAGAGCAGTTGGGAGATCCAGGCCTGCAGGGGGAGCAGTTGCGGGGTCCAGGCCTGCAAGGGAGGACTTTTAGGGGTGACTAGGCCTTCAGGGGAGGGCAGTTAGGGGTGATCAGGTTGGCAGGGGAGCAGTTAGGCATCAATCAGGCTGGCACAGGAGTGGTTAGGGGGTGATCAGGCTGGCAGGCAGAAGCAGTTAGGGGCAATCAGGAAGGCAGATAGGTGAGCAGTTGGGAGCCAGCAGTCCTGGATTGTGAGAGGTATGTCCAACTACCCATTTAGGCGCAGGCAGTCAGACATCCCTCAAGGCGTCCCATATTATATAGGTGCAGACTGAGCTGAGGGATACACCTCCCCCAATGCACAAATTTTGTGCACCCGGCTTCTAGTATATAATAAAAGCCTAATTTGCTAAGTGTTCAGTTGTCTAGTCATCCACTCAAGCAGTCAAAGCATAATATACTAATGATATGCTAAGGCCGCTAGCTATGATGTGCACTGACCAGCAGGAGGCAGATGCTCCAATCAGTAGGTTAGCTTTTTGCTGGGGTCCAACTGATCAGGACTGAGTGAGATGGGCCAAACATGCCATGGAGCCTTCCTGCGATCTCTCCCAGGCTGGCCAACCTCCCGAGTTCTTCCCTGGCCCCAATTGTGCAGTGGTGGGGTTCCTGGGCCTGGCCTGTGCCCTTTCAAAATCTGGGACCCCTTGAGGGATGTCAGGAGCTGGTTTCGGCCCAATCCCACAGGTCAGACCCAGGGACCCGACTGCTGCATGAATTAGTGCACAGGGCTTCTAGTAAATTACACTTATAAATACTAAATTTTGAAGTAAACAAAGCATAAATTCCATAAAAACTGTTTAAAGTAAATTCACCTTCCAAAATAGTAAAATAGTATCAAACTCTTTTGGTAATTTTCAGAATTAGTCTTATCTATACAATTTCAACTTCAACAGACTTCAGGAATTGAAATTTTTTGCTGAAACTGTTTGGCTCAGTGGATAGAGCATCTGCCTGCAGACTAAGAGGTCTCAGGTTCGATTCCGGTTAAGGGCATGTACATTGGTTGCTGGCACATTCCCAGTAGGGGGTATGCAGGAAGCAGCTGATCGATGTTCCTCTCTTATCGATGTTTCTAGCTCTCTAGCCTTCTCCCTTCCTCTCTGTAAAAAATCAATATAAATATATATTTTTTAAAAATTGAAACTTACCTGGGTTTTATATGCTTTCAGAATTTTTTAAAAAAATTTATTCCAGAGAGGAAAAGAGAGATAGAGCAAGATAGAAACATTAGTGATGAGAGAGAATCATTGATCGGCTGCCTCCTGCATGCCCCACACTGGGGATAGAGGTTGCATGTGCCCTTGAACCAAATTGAACCTATAACCCTTCATTACACAGACTGATGCTCTACCCACTGAGCCAAAACACTTAGGGCTATATGCTTTCAGATTTTTAAGAAATAGTTTCACTCCTTGTAGATTTTGATTTTTCATACTAAATGTGATATGACTCAAATTGTTTTTATAAGTTATCTAGTAATAATTATTTCAGACCGATAATTAGATACATGTAATTTTCTGTTTTATGAAACTGTTGTCCAAGGTTCATGCTGGTTGTAAATATTTTTCTTTTATTGTTAGCTTCTGTTCTTTTTAAAGATATCTAATCTAATCAAAATAGGGTTCTTTTAATACAAATTCGGTAAATCAGGTGATCAACATCAAGTTGAACACTATATCCTCAAGCCTAACATGAAATTAAATGTAATTCCATTTTATGAGAAGACTAGAGGACTGATGCATGAAACTCATGCAAGAGTGGGTCTTTGCAGTTGCAGCTGTCTAGATCCCTCCCTCGCAGCCTCATGGCTGCCTCGATCCTGTGGCTGCAGCCCCAGCTTTGTCCTAGAGGGAAAGCCGAAAGGATATCTGGTCTAATAGCATACTACATTTTTATTATTGTAGATTTACTGGCTAGTTTATAAACATGATTTTAGTGAAACATAGGAGATAATGGTTGGTATACACTGTGATTTCTATAATAGAATGCTGGTACATAATATTTTCACTTTACGTGAAGTTATAATAATCATAATTTCACAAATTATACTGTATGTAATGTTGCCAAATGTTTATAGACAGTCAATATTGGCTTTATCATCTTATTAATACTCTTTGAAGACAGATAAGTCCTTTTAATGTTCATTTTAATGAAAACCAAATAATTCAGTTTACTAAAACCTGTTTTGTTTTATTTTATTTTAATTAGAATATTTTAATGAATGAGCTGGAATATAATACAGTAGAGGGTAACCAAAAAATAGTTATTAAAAGTGTGATTTAGGAAACTGCCTAGGTGCTCATCAGCAGATGACTGGATCAGAACACCATGGTACATCTACAAAATGGAATACTATGCTGCCATAAAAAAAGAAGGAATTCTTACCATTTGCAGCAACCTGGATGGAATTGGAGAACATTATGTTGAGTGAAATAAGCCAGTCAATGAAAGACAATACCACATGATCTCACTCATTAATGGATAATAAAGAACATTATAAACTTTTGAACAAAAAGATAGCTACAGAGACAATAAAGCATTAAACAGACTGTCAAATTACAACAGGAAGGTTAGGGAGAGGTGGGGGAGATAAGAGATCAACCGAACGACTTGTATGCATGCATATAAGCATAACAAATGGATGCAGAACTCTCGGGGATGAAGGCATGTATGGAAGTGGGGTGAGGGGGGGCGGGGAATGGTAAGATATGCACACATATTATACCTTAATAAAAAAAAATGAGAAAAAAAAGTGATTTATAAAATCACTTAAGTGTTAGTGAAATTTTATGGTATGCATACTTTAAATTTGTTATATAGTCCTGTAATAAAAATAAAGGTAAAAATGTTCACCCTGTTTTTTTGTAGTTATAAAATACTGGTAAAAAAGTGATTTATAAAACCCCAGTGAAAGCATTTCTGAAGAAATGTATGTTGCATTAATTGATTATCTTATCTCCCCTCCATATGTGTTTCTTTCATATGGTGGATTTTATATTTTTAAAAGATTATGTATTTTAATTTAATTTTATTAAGCTCTGAGAGCCACTAACTCATCTTAAACAGACCTGATTGCCACATCATTTTTAGGTGACAAAACATTCTGGATTATTATTTTCTTTGCCTACTCTTAAATGCTTTGAGAAAAGTGATTGAGGAGAAAATTAAAATAATGTAATGCTACTAATAAATATAGATTAATCATACTACATATGTGGTAAATGATACTTCCCACCAGGTAGTCTTTGATGTCTATTTTATCTTTGGAAGGTAATATGCTTTCAGTCATTAATCACTAGATATTCCTATATCATAAGAAAATAAGAAATAAATGTTACCCTACAATATTAAATATCTCATTCTTCTTTTAATGATGTTTACTAATTTCAAGCGCATGCTTAATTTCCACTAACAAGTCCTGGTCCAGTCTGCTCTTGTGCATATATGCTGTGGCGTATACCATAGAGCTGACTCAGCTGACTTCTCTACTTTCTTGCAGTTTAAGAGTGCTTTAATTAAAATGAAAAAAGCTGTCAAGAGATTTTGAGATATTGGGTCTTATTTCTGTTGAGATACATTTATTTATAAAGTGGTCATTTTTCTGTTTATGAAATGGTATTGTGTTTTACTGGATGTCCACTAATACTTTACCTAGAAAGCTTTGACAGAGGGTACAAAACTTTTTTTTAATCGGAATTTTTCATATATCTAAATATTTCCAGTGTGAACTGATCATTTACATATCATTTCTTCATGCTGTATATTTTATTGAACTATTTCCCTATTTGCTTTCTTTAACCCATATATCAAAATTAGATAGCACATCTATGCGAAAGTATCTCTTGAAATTTTTTTTTGTTTTTCTTTTCATTTAGTCACTACAGGAAAAAAAAATTAGATTCTGTTCTGGAAATTTTTCTATTAGATAAATAAAGGTTAAATATACTCTAAAAGTAATTTTTAATTATACTTTAAAATAAAATCACATTATTTCCTACTTCTCTATTGTAATCATTTATTTTGTGAGATACTATCTTATGATTAAAAATGAACATTTATCTCCAGTTATTAGGAAGTTTATAAGTGACTTGTTATTCAGCAGAATGTGAATTTATTTTTTTAATGTATTTGGAAATCCTTGTGTTTCTTTCTCTGTTAGGAAAATATTATACATCACATTATCATCCCCCTCTTTTTTAAGTGTCTGGTGATGTTTTTCTTTTTTTCCCCTCCAGCATATAATCAAGTTTCACCGAGCTTCTAAAGCAAATAAGAAGCCAGTTCAGTTACCTCGGGGAATGGTGAAGTCACTATTATATCAGATCCTAGATGGGATTCACTACCTGCATGCTAACTGGGTGTTGCATAGAGATTTGGTAAGTTGATATGTAGCTATATTTAAGCAAGAAAGATGCATTTATATATGGAATATTTTCTAGTTATGTCTAGATATCAGTGCTCTATAGGCCTTTAAACCTTAATAGAGGGAGTGGGAGTGCTACAAGTCTCAACATAGCCTGGCATTGAGTTTTTTATATAATGTGTCCTTTTCTGACAAAGCTAGCTGTCATATACTGAAGAGTTGAGAGAGAACACATTTGTTTTCCTAAGCTTTTGTTTTTCTTAAGTCTGTAAATAAAGAATTCACTTGTTTTCATTGATTATTAAAGGCCAGGCAAACTCTAGAAATTGACATATCTCTGAATAACGAAAATAAAACTTGGAACTAACTGCTAAGTTACCTGTTAGGAGATATTAATCCACTATATTAGTAGCACTCTTATGCTACTAAACCTTTATTAATTAAAATTGAGTATATCATTGAGAAGCCTTGACATATTAAGGTGCATTCAATTTTAAGAATTTAAAAACTTCAGAAATTGGATTTTATTTTATGTGGCAGAATAGTTTTTGCCTTTTTTTTTTTTTTTTTTAACCATCTAACATGAAATTGTTTATTAAAACTTAATAGATTAAAGTTATTTAAACCTCAAATCCTCTACTACATAATTACATTGTTGTACTTTTGTTTTTCTTTGTGAAGGTAGCAACTATAGTAAGATTTATAACAGAGCCTTTATTTCAAACAGTTATAAACACAGTGCTGGAAATGATTTGATCTCTACTTATGTATAGACAGGTGCAGCTGACCGGCACACAGAGCCCTACTGAACCGTTTTGCTCTATATTTAATGAATTTAACTTCTGTCCTTCAAATCAGATGTTGCAATATTATATTTCATTTACCTTCAATAAATCAGGAAGTACATTTAATGGTAGTTAGTTCATCTTCAATTCTCATATCTAGAAAGTATTTAGACTAAGATTGATAACACATCAGAAATTTGGTTGAAAGAATATTTTCCTCATGCAACCTTTATATTTATTAAAATTAGAATAATCTTGTTACAAATAGATTCACAGAACAAAAATGAGAAATTATTTTAGTCTTTATGAAGCTTAAAATTTCTGCTTTTAGGTAGTGGAGTCAGCATAGGGAAAATCTATAACTACTTTTGAGATACCTTTCTTATGATTTCTAAAAGAATGAAATCTGGGCCTAAAGTGCATTTTCCTCCTTTAGAGATAATGTTGCATTTTATTATAAATTATATTTTCATCATGAATACAAACTGATATTTAAACCGGTCCTAAAGTATACTGTACTTGAACCACTTACAGTAGTATTAACTACTAGAGGCCTGGTGCACGAATTTGTGCACCAGTGGAGTCCCTCAGCCTGGCCTCTGGGATAAGGCTGAAACCGGCTCTGACATTCCCTAAGGCAGTGTTTCCCAAAAGTGTGGTACGCATACCCCCAGGGGTATGGGAAGTGTTTGGTGGGGGTATGCGTTGCACCGGAGTTTGGTGGGGATATGCACTGCACCGTGCTTAGCTGCGCCTAATTCTATGTTCTCATGCGTACGAAGGGTACTCAGCGTTACAAAAATTATAGAAGGGGTACACATATGTCAAAAGTTTAGGAAACACTGCCCTAAGGAGTCCCAGATTGCAAGAGGGCGCAGGCTAGGCAGAGGGACCTCACCGGTGCATGATTGAGGCTGTGAAGTGATGCAGGAAGTTGGCCAGGCAGGCAGGGACTACAGGAGGTCCAGGTTGTGTCTGGCCCATCTCGCTCAGTCCCAATCGCCTGGACCCCGTCAGGAAGCTAACCTATCAGTCATAGTGTCTGCCCCCTGGTGCTCAGTGCACGTCATAATGAGCAGTTGAGTGGCCTTAACATATCATTTGCATATTATGCTTTGGTTGGTTGAATGGACAACCAGACACTTAGCATATTATACCGTATTTTCCGGCGTATAAGACCTTTGAAACGAAAAAAAGTCAACCGAAAATCGGGGGCAAAAGACCAAAATTGCACAAAAATTACCTGCAGATTTTGACGGCAAAGTAAGTCTTTTCTTTGAAGTGGGGGTAGTCTTATACAGCGAATATAGACCTAAACATGTTTAAACTGTAAAATTAAGGGGTCGTCTTATGCGCCAAAAACACGGTACTTTTATTATATAGTACTAGAGGCCCAGTGCACGAAATTTGTGCACAAGTACAGTCCCTCGGGCTGGCCTATGATCAGGGCCATCTTCCCCAACTGCCTGCAGCCAGCCCCACCCCCTCCGCCACCCACCCCCAGTACCCCATTCGCCTTTGGGTGATCAGTGCCTGACGGCTGGGGGAAGGGACCGAGAGGTCTCTTCTTCCCTCCCACTCGCCAGTCCCATCCTTGCTATGGGTGGCAATCAGGCAATCGGAGCCTGCCAGCTGGGGAAAGGGACAAAGAGGTGGTCAGTGTGCCTCATAGTGACTGGTCCAGCTGTCATCCTGGTCATTTTGCCGTTAGGATCAATTTGCATATTACCTTTTTATTATATAGGATAGAGGCCTAGTTCACGGGTGGGGGCTGGCTCGGCTGCCCTGAGGGGGCCCTGAATCAGGGTGGGAGGGGTCATACTGGGGGACGGGGCCAGCCTAGGCGAGGGGCAGCGGGTTGTCTTCAGGCAGGCCATGCCCCGATCGGGATGGGTGTCCCCACTGAGGAGTTAGCCATCCTGGACAAGGGGTAGCAGGCAGTTTGCAGCCTGGCCACACCCCTAGGGTGGGGCCTGCCTGGGTGAGGGGCCTTGAGTAGTTTGCAGGCCAGCCATGCTCCCGGCTTGTCAGGAAGGACATTTGGAATGTTTAAAAGATGGTCTGTCTGATCTAATTAGTATATTACCCTTTTATTAGTATAGATAGTAGTAAAAATAATTATGGAGTCAATTCTTTTACCTCTCTTTTGGGAACGCTTTCTATTAATGTGGTTTAAACAAGTTTTCTTTGACATAGGAATAGTATAAAACAGGTTGTTTAGTCATCTGTGTTGTTAGTGCTATATCAAGAGGTGGGTGTGATGAGAGCAGTACACCCAAGGTGTAGGCAACATGAACATGTACTATCTGTAGATGATTCTAAAATAATAATGAAACAAGCTAAAAGTGGTTTTTAATATCACCATGTGCTGCCAATTCTGAATAATATCAGTAATAAAATATTTCTATTCAGCTGAGGCAAACCAATCCTACTACTCTACCCCTTTTGATATGCCACTGCCATCTGTTTAATAATCTCTTAGTCAAAAATATTTTCCATTCTGTAATATATTATTTGTCTACTGTTGCTTCCTTGATTTCCCTATTTTTCTTAATGAGATCTCCTGCATTGCCTGTGTATGACTTCTTAGTGCTCTTTCTAAACATCTAACCCTTATAGGCACACACAGGCCCACTGAACCATTGTGTCCAGTGATAACCTCTGTCCTAATATGCATGTTAATGTTTGACCTGCCTAATTCTTGAATTATTCTTCATTTCCTAAAGGAAAGATTCATTTTCATGATTTTTGAAAAAAATGTGTCAACCATCCTGCCAACTGAGAATTAAATTTTGGTGTTTTGATGTTATATAATTTTCCAACTATAGCTACATGAGATATATAAAGAAACAAAGCATTTACTCTGAAGAATAACTCTCAGAAGATGTAAAACTTGATTTTTTATATCCTTTTCAAATATTAGTTATTTTCAGATGAAATATTTACCCTATTGAACAAATATAATTAATAATTAATTATATTCTTTTTTTTTTTCCAGTCAGTTTTACATGAAATGTCAATACTTACCCTAACATGTCAACATAGATTTATGAATTTAAGTGGTTGGTGGGGTTTTTGACTAGCCACAAGAAACTTCATACTAATTTGCATAAATGGCACAGATTCCTCAAAAATACCATTTGAATATTCCAAAATGTTATTGAAACTTTTGTTTAATAACATCGACTTTATTATTAATAGAAATACTGGTTGAGATTGTAGAGTTATATGAAGTTTTTTGTTTCACACGTGAAGTTGAACGTTAACAATTAATAATTGTATTTAGTAAAGATTTTGTCACTATTAATCATCACATAATAGCAGATCAGTAATTGGTGTTTGTAATCCTTGATGTGACTGGAACCCTTGTTGGGCTGATGATAGTAAGTGCATATTTATGGATGTTTTAAGAAAGATGAGTCCAAAAGGAAACACTACTTATTTTTGTGATATAATTTAAGAATCCAAACCAAACTGTTTAGTTTTAGAAAAGTAAAATATCTATATATAAGGTGGGCAGGCAGTCCAGAGACCCAAGGGAAGAGTTGCAATTGAGTTCAAAGGCAGTCTGCTGCAAGAATTCCTTTTTGCTCAGCGGAGATCAGCCCTTTTCCATTAAGATGTTTAACTGGCTGGCTGAGGTCCACCCATATTATGGAGGGTACAGCTTCACTCAGACTCCCCAGTTTAAATGTTAATCTTATCCAAGAACTCCTTCATGGAAAACTTCCAGAATAATGTTTGAGCAAATATCTGGGCACCATGACACAGCCAAGTTGAAAGACTGGTCACCAGGAGGTTGGTGCATGGTGAGGTGCATGTGTGGCGAGGCATGAGTGGGAGGGTGAGGACTTGACTCTGGGTCCCAGGTTTTGCTCAATGTCCCACTGGTCTGGGTCTCGCACAGTTTCGCCTGCTGGGTCACTAGTATCCTAATAAAAGAGTAAAATGCAAATTGACTGTACATTTGGAGTGTTTTGTAGTATCGCTCCTATTGCTAGTTGGTCACTCCTGTCCTAAACCAATTCAAAATAGTTTTTTATGCCATAGTAAAATTTCCTAGGAAATAAATCTCTACAGAAATTTTCTTTGGGAGTATTCCAGTGGGGATGTGAAATAGCCCTGAGAACCAGTGCTAAACATATTTAGAAGATGCTCGAGCTATTTCAAAGCTTTAATCTGACTTATTTTTTAAATATCTGATAGTGCTGCTGTCCTGCAGTTTATT